TACTCAACACCAGAAAAATATTTTTGCAATTTTCTACTACTGAAAATGATGAAATATTACTATGCAATCTTCTATTTTGGGTCGAATATCTCGAAAACTGTTTATTTCAGCTCAGTTGAAGGTGATGCATTTTCTGAACAAAATTGAACAATGAATTCGAGGAATTGGAAATAATCGAAATTCAATCAGTGGCGTAGAAAATATGGAAGGAAAAAATGCCACAACCCCCTGTAGGGCACCACTGGACAAAATGTCCGGAATGGCTTCCAGGTCAAAAAATGGCCCATTCAAAGATGAAACCATATACCGAATTTGAATGCATTTAATTCAATTTTTCATGAGATATCGAGAAAAAACTATTTTAATTTCTCAACTTCAACGCCCTATATCTCGAGAACTGAACACTTCAAGACCGTCTGTCCCTATCTCAGTGATTATGAAATCACGAGGGCTATCACCTGTCAAGCGTTGTCGGTCGAATTTCGAAACACCCTGTATATATGGGGTGGGGCATTAGAGCGTCGGAGCTTGATTGCTCGAGTTCTATGATAGCTAGAAACTCGTTTCAAAATCGAATGTGAATGAGACAACGAGGTCCACAACTGAGAAATCAGTACCGCATGTACAGGGGGCACCGAAAAAAATCTAGAGGGTCGGGATCACTTTTTTTAAATGGAATGCCCTGTATATTAGCACATTTTTTGAAGCATTCCTGTGACCTCCAACAACTCCTATAATATTGTTGACTATATCTCGATCATTTCAAAGTTATTAATTTTTTTGTCGAAATAATGTCATCTGCAGATGCATACCGAAAAAAACACTGTAGTCACAATTATGAAATTTATGAAAGAATAATCATAATACCTTTTGATGGAAACATGTGTGATATTTCTGTGGAATCTTCATGCCCTCAAATTATACGGGGTGGCTGATAATGATTTTTCAATTCGGAACTGTTGGAAGTGATTTTTCTCGAGTTTTTAAATGAAATACCCCATATATTTTTAAACCATTTGGTGTAAAATCGGAAGACGAACATCTTTTATCTTGACATCCATACTGATATTCATAACCATTTTTGAATTATTGAACTTCGAAAATTATAGGTTGGCCATTTTCATCGATACACATCAGTTATCAAAACATCGAAAGCCCAATTAATAATCAAGTAAGCTTGTTTTTTTATTGAAAGAATTGAAACGAGAATTAGAGCAATCATCAGATATAGTTCATATGCTGGTAATCACAAAGTAAATGAGAAAGAAATTCCATTTTTAAAATATCCCATAAATTCATAGCACATCAAAAACAAAACCCTTTGTGAATAACTAGCATATGAACTATCTCTGCTGTGTTTCTGGTATCAATTCTTTCAATGAAAAAACAAGTTTGATAAATGAATAATTGGACTTTTGATGTTTTAATGACAGATGAAAATGTGTATCGATGAAAATGACCTACCTACCTATAATTTTCGAAGTTCAACAATTCAAAAATGGTTACGAATATCAATATGGATAGTGGGAAGAAAGATGTTCGTCTTTCGATTTCACACCATATGACCGACCTGAAATCACTTCCGAAAGTTCCGAATTGAGAAATCATTTTTAGCCACCCTGTATAATTTGAGGACATGAAAGTTCTACAGAAATATAACACATATTTCCATCAAAAGGTATAATGATTATTCAATCTCGAATTTCATAATTGCGACTACAGAGATTTGTTCGGTATGCATCTGCAGATTTCGACAAAAAAATTAATAACTTTGTAATGACCGAGATATAGTCAACAATATTATAGGAGTTGTTGAAGGTCACAGGGATGCTTCAAAGAATGTGCTAATATACAGGGCATTCTATTTAAAAAAAGTGATCCGACCCTCTAGATTTTTTTCGGTGCCCCCTGTACATGCGGCACTAATTTCTTAGTTATGGACCTTGTTGTCTCATTCACATTCGAGTTTCTAGCTATTATATAAAACTAATGCCCTGCCCTGTATAAAGAAATACATTGAGAATTCGCATTCTCTATGGGATGAAAATATCAATTCTTTCTCGGTTTATGCAACAGAAAACTACTACTTTCCTGGCTATATGCCACGACGGATATTGAATCACATCTATTGAACACACACGATAAGAATTTGAAAACAATATCTTCTTAAGTAGAGAATTTGCATTCTCCTTCATAAAAAGATATGAACATAATATCATTCTGAATATTCAACAGGAAACAACTACTTTCCTGGCTATTTGCCACGTCGAGCATTAAATTATATTTTTCTACAAACGCTTGACAAAGTAGCCTTTGACGCTTTCAAATTCCAGCACAAAGTTGACGTTTTCCCAGAAATGTCATTCTTTGACAGCATTTGCGCTCGTGAGCGGAAATATTGAAAAAACGCTCGCACATCTCTGAAACCTATACTTATCTATTCTTGAAAACCCCCAATTATTTCATGATGGAAAATAGTGACAGTGAATCATCAAACAGTCAAACACACCTCCTTCCTGATGATATAGCACAAAGCGCAAGAGTTTGAATTTCCTACCGGAGAAATCAAGGAAGAAATATGAATTACAATATGATACATTCATAAATTGGTGCTACTCCGAGATGGTGAATATGTATTCAGAAAACGTTTTACTGGCTCATTGGTCTATATATTCGATGGTACGATGGTCCAGTTTCAATTCTCGGCATTTTTTTCTGGCTTTTCAGTTATTTAAATTTTTTCTTTTTTTGTTTTCTTTGGACATAATATGGATAAGAAGTTTTTCAACTATTTCAATCGCTCATACTTTCAGGGTAGTTATTTCCAAAAGCTGCGTTAGTAGAAAAAATCTTGTGTGTATTTCGAGCACAAAGTGTTATTGCCGCTCTCCAAAAATTACCGCGCTCCGCTCCGCATCGCGCGGTAACTTTCTTTGTCGAGCGGCAATCTATCACTTTGCGCTCTAAATACACAAATAGCTATTGTAGAACACCCAGAAAGAGAGCATGAAAAAAGAAAATCCTCTGAAAATGAGAATTGACATCATCTCTCAAATCGTATAAAATAATATGATGTATTATGATATAAAAATATGCATGTTCTTAGAATATTCTCAGAACGTTCAGTACACCTCGTGAGAACATTCTTAGAATATTTAAAATGTTTCAAGGGAATATTCTAAGAACGTTCTCAGAACCACTTTGTGCTGTCTAGGCTCACAGATTCAGAGATATTTGAACTCCACATTTTCTTCAGATTCCCTCGGATAATCACGATATTCAACATCGTGTCAAGCATTCATTAATAACAAAAAAAAGAATTTTGTTGCAAAATCCATTTTTTGTAGGTGCGCGGTATTATACTGATGTCTTCCTCTATATTTATATGAAGAAAAAAGACATAATTAGGATGAGCTCTATAGTGAGTGAATATTACTGAATATAATAGGACTGAATAAGTTCCTCCATGTTCCTGTATCATCATGATCTATAAAAAGTGTCCAATAATAGGAATATATATATTTCTTGAGCGCAAAAACATCGGTTGTTAACCTCGTGCCATTCATCCAAATGTAAAGCTTTTCCAATTATTTTCGGGCACGAAAAGTAATTCCATCAGAAATTATTGGCTATTAAGTTTCCAGAGACACTTTGAAAACCGTCAAAATTTGTTTACAAACCTCTATTTCGACATATATATATACGACTTCACCTACCCATATAATATATGATATAATAGACAACAGGTGTTCTGAATGAAATTGTAGAGGTTCTGCCAACTCTACAAAATATAAGTAATTTGTTTTGACGCATGGAACACAGATTATGATTTTCCTTTTCATCATTTCGAATTTTCTAGTTGCACCATTTCATGCTCAACAAAATGCTGCCTCGGATATCTCCGGAAACAGTTTCGATTTTTCCAACTTCAAAGCATTTTGTTACGACAGCTCTGGAGTGCCAATGGAAAGAACTAAAAATTCACTCTGTCGAAATTTCGAATTAGGAAGTCGAAATTTCGACTTAGGAAGTCAAAATTTCGTCTTACCTACTCGAAATTTCCTCTTACTAAGTCGAAATTTCGTATTATTAAGTCGAAATTTCGACTTAACATCTCGAAATTTCGACATAGTTAGCTTGAAATGTCGACATGATTGTTATCTCGAAATTTCGAGTTTTCATGAAAAGTCATATGAAACCACAGAACTCATAGACCTATGAAACCGGCGTTATTGATGGTTCTTGGCCATTACAAAAGACATCTAGATCTAGGTACCCACGACGGATGCCAGTTTTGGTTCACTGTTTTCTTTAGTTTTTCAACTGAGATCTCTATTATATATGAGTGTTAAGATTTTGAAGATGAGGACATCATAAACCTCAAGTATCGAAAATGGGTATAAACGGCTTAGTTCAAACTTATTTTCAACTCGCTCTAAATAATGAAGAGATACTAAGTACACAGAATACCATTCTGTGGCTGTGAGCTTAGACGAAATTTCCAAATTTCGTCTTACATAAAACGAAATTTCGAGTTAGTAAGACGAAATTTCGACTTGGTAAGACGAAATTTCGACTTAGTAAGTCGATAATTTGATTTAATAAGACGAAATTTCGAGTTACTAAGACGAAATTTCGACTTTCTATTTTTTTCCACTGACACTCCTGAGCTTTCGTATTTTGTTGAGCATGAAATGTACTATTCTGTGTCTCTTGAGTTTACCGAGATCCCCATGCTTAACCACGAATTTGTAACACCCTGTATAGTTACTTACTTAAACTTTTATAGTTGATGTCAGAATAATAACAGAATTTCAAGCACATTTCCGAAAGAGCAGTCATACTTATGCTCATTGAAATTATTCTGATTTTTCGATATTTATTTTCAGCCAGCTAACTTTCTCGTCTAGTGTCGGATTTGATCACGAATCATAGAATTATCGCCTGATAAGATTTCAAAAAATGTGCGGAATGCCGTTATGTATATTAGAATAACTTACTTGATACTTTGGATCCCCTTCTGAAGGATTCATAAAGAGTTTTCGCATCTGAAAATACGTAACTTATGAATTTTCCTTCCTTAGCTTCTTTGAAAAACCTCGATACTCGTATCACTTCTGATCCCTGTAACAAAAAGTATATGTCATTATATTTTTCCATTCGAAATACATTTTCAGTTTCATGGAATTTTAACAGTAGGCAAAGCTTACCCAAAAACAATTGCAGCGTCCTGATATTCTGCAATTGATTGTGGATAGGCTTCACCTACCTATAATTTTTGGTTTCATCAGGTTGAAATTATACAAGGTGTTTAGTAAAATTTTGGATTCAAATGGAATTTTAGTTTCCTTACAAACTAAGTAAGATCACTAGGAATGAGAAAACTGTTATTTCAATTATTCAACCAAAAGGAGCTCCATGTTACTATTAACAAAACCAGCAAGATCCATTGGAATTAATGAAAAGACATTTGAGTTATGAATGAGAAAACAATTTTTCACGGAAATATTGAAACCCTCTGTATCTCGAAAACGAAGCAAGTTAGGACACATGTTTATATAGAATTTATTTCCTCAATATTAGGAAGAATCGCCCTGTCAAGTTTGTCGCACTTGTTCACTAACACCCTGTATCCAAAAAACGTTTCTCTCTCAATGACTCTTTGATATATCTTGAAAATTACTCTCAAATACATACATACCCATTTCCATGGTAATGATTGATGTAATTGTTAACATTTATAAAAAGTACGTCAGTCCATCAATCGCTTCTTCCATGCAACTAATTAGTTTATCCGAATAATTTTAGTAGTTATGCTATGACAGTTCTAGATCAAAATACCACGTTATTTCATTTCATTCAGTAATTTTTGAACCATCGTCACGTGGTTGCGCCACCTGTACGACTAGCATGCGTCGAAGCCTCGGGAATACGTTGAAAAAACGTTGGAAAACGTTACGAAAACAATGCATCATTTCGTTGAAGGAACATCGATAAACGTTAATGAAGTATGAAAATTCATATCGCGTGCATGGAAACATCGAAACAACGTCAAAAAATTACAGGAAGCGATTCTCACGTGTGACGCTTTTTAACGGTGTTTCGACGTTCTTAGACGCCTTGAAACGTGCAAATCGTGTTCGCGACATTTGTTCGACGTTTTTTCGACGGTTTGACGCATGCGTAAGGCAATCAATTTCGTGATTCATTTCCACGTTTTTCTGATGCCATTCGGTAGCGGGTGATGGCCCAATCATAAATTATCAGAATGAGCCTTCATAATAGTTATTTATGTATCAAGGGCGTGAAGTAGGCGTTTATAACCTGCGTGAATAATTACCCCATGGCGCCAGCCGTGGGCCATTAGACGCTGAAGGCCATGAACGCATTTTTCGCACGTGATGCATCATACAACATTTTATGCACTTGTGAATCATTTCTCGAGTCCAAAAGTGATGACTAGATTTCAATTAGCAACATATTACATATAATGTATTAATGCAGTAATCAAGAGAAACGTAATAGTTGAGGGGAGTTCACATATTAAAATTGTCGTACGAATAACGCAATTATCATAATAGTGATACTCTTTGTTCACCAGAAGAGGTTAATTTCTTGAAATGTTACATGTTGCCTAGCAATATACATAAAGAAATCAGGCTAAATTGTCGTAAAGTGATAAGTGATGAGATTCATGGAATAGGATGATGAAGAACATGTATACAATATACCGCTGGAAATCATAGAATCGGCTCAGAGTGCAAACATAGTTATTTCATGAATAATAGGTATGTGGATATGAGGAATTTGAGAACAGTGAAGTACTTCACGGCCCGCGAGCCATGATGGGCCCGCGAGCGGTAAAGTGAAACTTTACGCCCGCAAAACCGGGTGGTAAAATGCACTTTACCGCCCGCTAGTGCATAAAAGATAAAATGAAATATTGATCCATAACTTTCAGAATTTGACTACTGAGGGGGAAATATGAGTTGAAATTATTCCAAATACATTATAGATGCAGGGATAACAGTCCAACACTCTCTGTATCAAAAATTTCCTCCAGATTCCTGTTCATTTACTCACTCATAAGTATATATCAAGTTTATTGTTTACCATATATCTGCTTCAACACTTACATTGTTTTTTTGAATTAAATATTCATTTTAGTAACTGACTGAACACTTCCATTATAAGGTTTTTTATATTCGTTCGGGCAGAAAATGATTATTGATTTACTCGTTGATTTACTAGGCAGCAAACTCAGCAAAGTAGTAGACTATAGCGGCTGATAGCCAAGGCATTCAATCTACATTTGCTGACGTGTGGAACATATATTTTTTTCTCCGAATGTTATAATTATGACCCATTTTGTGTAATTTTTTGTTGAAAACTCCATCATTTTGTGTTCATCCAATGTCAATGTTAATTTTGATAACCAATTTCATTCAAATTACTTGGAACGTTGCATGGCAACAAATTTTTTCTGCCTAGGCAGAGAAAGTTTACCTTTCCTGCCTGTTGAGTATTTCATAGAAAATTCATTTTCTATGCAGCTCGAAGAAAAAATATATTTTCCTCCGATTGGCAGCAAATATTAATTTTGCTGACACATATCAATCAGCAAAGTATTACTTTTCCTGTCTAGGCAGCAAAGTGGTTACTTTGCTGATTGATATGTATCAGCAAAATTAAAAATCCATAAATCGTTTATAATTTCCTTCATATTTCATCCGAGACTTCCCCGGCAACAAATTCAAATCTATATTTTTTGCCACCTCCCTTATTAATGGAGGTATAAGTATACTTCCAGGTCGCTATCACTGAACATTATATAATAATTTAAATATACCGATATTTTTTCGCACAACTGTCAGAAATTTCATGAATTGTCAAACCAACAACTGCGATTTCTATCAAATTTTGTTTTTAATTGAACACTATACAGGAAGAATAAAGAGATTGTGGGAATTGCATTAATTCGCAAATACAATATACTCCCATATCATTATGAACAATCGGAGAAAAAATGATATGTTCAACTCGGCGGCAAAGTAGATTGACTGCCTTAGCTGTATTCCTAGCCTCGCTACGCTCGGCTATGAATTCAGCCACGGCAGTCAATCTACTACTTTGCTGCCTAGTCGAACAAATAACTATTTTCAAATTATCATTCAACTTTCCCAATAGGCGAGTCGACTATTTTTCTGTATTTCTTAAATAGAATCATCACTCACATACCTTTCGACTGCATATTTTTTTAGAATTTTCCGGTCGATTTTAAGGTGCTAAAATCATCAATAATGCCACGGTGATTTTCAAACAGATAGATATTTACCGCAAGTAAAAACTGACGTCACGATTTCATAAGTAGGGCAGACCATAGCACAGTTGCCATGTGTTGAAAAACAATTGGGAACTTCATAAATATTAGATATTCAAATATTAATAAATTCTCAATAATGTATTGGAAATATTCCTATTTATCAATACAAAATCTATTGTCTCAAAATATTCCCTTATGATTTGTGGTTTGTTGTTTATAATACATTCGTGTAAACAGTTATTACCAATATTAATTCACACTAGAGGGCATTTGAAGCAGTGAACGTGACAACACGGCACGCACTACTTGTGGGCGTGGTCTTGTCTCCTCTCAGCATTCTACACAATGTTGCCAAGTCTCCAACATTTACATGATATTTTCTTATGGAGTATAGGAAATATTTGGACATGATGGTTGCTCTAAAAAGTCAAGAATGAACTATAATATCATGGTTTCCTCCTATTATGTTCCATATTCAACGAGGGGGACTCTTACATCTTTTTGATAACTTCATCATAATTGGTGACTCGACAACCTTGCTTCGTGAGTGGAAATGGAAGATTATCTGAGCAATAACTAAACAGGATAACAGCTGACGTATCGCCAAATGGTGGCTATGACGGTACGTTTGAAATGAGCTCCGGAATTCAGCACTTTCGAACGACGCTAATACTCATTTACATAAAAAAGTGTTAAATAAAATTGATTTAGGTCCCTAATGACAAAGTGGAGTAATTGAATGCCAATAATTCATTCAATAAGTCCACTCACTCATTGCTTGGCTAGAAATATAGTAAAAATACCAATGATTTTTGAAAATTGAAATATTCACTCGGGTGCACTTAGGACTGTTTATATCCATCAACTGCATAAGACTGAATATCGGCCACACTGTTTCGGATTTGATTGAATCAATATGTTCTACATTCATCTGGACTTCTGCCAGAGAAAGTAATGCAGGCGATAATTCTTTCATGAATCTTGAATAGTAGTATCATAAAATTAATAAATTAATGTTGAACGATTTAGGGATCCTCAAGTTCAATAACATCTAAACTTTGAAGTTCTAGTCAAGAATGTCAAGATATGTATAGAGGGTTACTGAACTCGACAAAACTCATAACCCAAAATAAAAACCACACTTTGTTTGTGAAACCCGTAGGTAAAAATTCATAATGAAAGTTTCATTGAATTTATTGCATATTTTATCTACAACAACAAACAGTTTGTCTTGCATCAGCTGACGATTGAATCACGAAAACTACCTAGAATCTCTTGGTCTTGAAATTCCATGTTTTTCATATACACTCACCAGCGAAAAAAACGGCCGACCAAAAATTTTCCCAAATTGTTGACCCTTTAACTTTTACAATCCTTGTCCGATTTTTGTGAAATTTCGATCAAATCGTAGAAAAGAACTACCGACACTCGCAAATCAGCCAATTTTCAGAATATAAAAAATAGTTAATTAAATACCTGAGCACTTTTATATCTCAAAGCACGAAGCGCTGAAGAATTTTTTTTTTATGTTCTGGTTCCCACAAAAAGGGATATCCTGTAATGTTCAAAGAAAATCGTGAGAACAGAGGGAATTGAGGTAGGAATTGGTGTTCTTCTTGAATTTCTGGAGGTTATATGCCTCGGGGAACACCTCCCTTGGCAATGTGTTCCAGAACCTCGCTGTTCGTTGGATGAACGAGTCTTTGGAAAGAGATGTTCTGCAGGTCTCCAAAGTGACCACGAAGGGGTGCGAAGCCACTAGAGCGTAGCCATAGCACCAGTGCGAGAATATTGCGCCTGG